AAAAAAAAAAAAAAACCTTGCCTGATTTGTGAAGACCAACACCCATACTTTCATACTATTTCATACTATTCATACAAAATCCATACTAATCATACTGTTAGAGACTTTATAAGCTTCTAGATTAAACTAAAACTCCAAATTCCTGTGCATTAGGCCTATTGGTTGAGAAGATTTCAGTTGCATTGTTAGGCTTGAGGGATATTGCTTTTAAGGCACCTGTTGGGATGAGAATGGTACGAGGACCTTTGGAAGCTGCTGACCGGCTGGTGAGGGTGATATTTATTGGCCTGCCCAACCATGCCTTAATTATCTGAAAATTGAGAGAACAGGAAAACATATGCTTTGCCCAGTGGCCCGTGGCCAGTAGGAGGCTTTGTGGAGATTTGAGCTTGGGTTGGAACATGAATTGCACTGTTTCATTTCTTAACTCTCTTCCTGTGTCCATAAGCCTGAGTTTTCTCCTACCAGTGGTTTGACTTGAATGGCTTCAAGGAAGGCCCATGTGTTTCTTTTCCTCAATACTTCAATTTAGAGATTTAGTTAATTACTTTTCTTAAAGACAAAGCTAAGGCGCTGAAACACATGGGAAGCCTACTGAAGACTGAGCTCTCCAGGGGTTCTGGCTGTCCTGAAGCTCCCCAGAACTCAAGTATCCGTCTCTGGAAGGTTTGCAGGGTAACTGGCCAGGGAGATTTAGGTAACTGTCTAAACACGTCAGGGTTCCTAGCCCTCAGACAGAGCCAGGATGGAGCCTAGATTGGCAATACAAAATACCTGAATAACAGGATGTGGTATTTTAAAATTCTCTCTGGCACTGCTATGTAATTCTAAAGTCCAAGTGGAGCCACTGAATTGCACAGAGGCTGGCCATAGTCACATCCAGATGTAACAGCTTTAACATCCGATGTGCACATTCAAGGGAAGCCTAGCTTATGGAAAGGTGTACTGATGGATTAATCACATGAGTTAGAAGAAAAGCAGGCTATTGTATCCCCTCTTGGAGCTAAAAAAAAAACCAGTCAAATTCCTGATGTGGGAACAAAGGATGCCGAGTGTGGACACAAAGGGCGACTAGCATCTCTTCTAAAAGCTGCACTGGTGGGGAGCAATTGAAAGCTTGAGTTCTGAGGTACTGTTCATTAGGTACAAATCAAATCTACACGATTGCTGGTAAAATGACCTTGGGCACACTGCATAGCCTCTCTGTACTGAGGTGTTCTTATCTGGGGAAGAGCAGTAGTACCTACCCTGAGGTTGTTAGGAAAGAAGTTAATCTAACATGCTTAAAATACTGTATTCCTTCTGATTTAGAAACGTGTTTGTTTCTGCCCCCTTGAACCACTAAATTATGTATCTTTGTAAAAATTGAAGGCAAAAGGAGATTTTTCTCATCAAAATTGATTGCCACCCACTTACCTGAAAAATGTTAATCATTCAAGCACTTAATATTAACAAAGCTGAGATGTTTACTTGTTTTCACGCTAGAACAGCCTGGGAGTTACTCTGTGTTCTGGACCTGGTTGCCTGCTGTTTGGTTTGGTCAAAATGACCTCTGGTCATATTTAAGTCTTCTGCACACTCTCTCAGACTCCCTACAGAGAAAGAGCAATCCTTCCTCCTGAAGTCAGCATTCTAGTGGAGAAAGCAGGACAGGAGGGACCACCTGAGCGAAACTGAGTGACTAGCCTAGAAATGCAAACTCTTCTCAGTGCACGCAGGGGCCCATACTATCCTTGCCCTCAAAGCTGGGCAGCCCGCCATGACTACTCCCCTTCCCGCATCCTTCTCCCCTGGAAGGAAACCTGCCTCTCCATGGCAAGCAGAATCTCAACAGATTGCTTCCTGGTCTAAAAATGAATGTTACTAAGTGAAGTACAATCTCTTCTCTACTTAACAACACCCTCTCTCCATCCCTCAAACTTATTTTAATCCCAGTTCTTAACTAATATTTGTTAGCTCTTACTTCATGTAGATAACAGAATATGAGGGCTTATAAAATTTCATAAACGTAAAAGTTACTGCCTCAATTTAGCAGGCTGGCAATTTTTCTGTACTGTCATAACTTATACAGTCTAGCTAGAGGCAAGTGACCTTTAGCTGATGTAAGCTGGTAAGAATTCAGAGTAAATGGGGCAGGCTGAGTGACTGCTAAGTTGTAGGGAAGTTACCGGGTAGCAGAAGAACAGCTATCACTTGTATCTTCAGGTAACCACAAAGGAAAGAGAGGGGGATAAAAATAGGAAGTAAAAATTATAGAAAGTTGGGTTTAAAATGTTGTTCAATGGTTGGAGATGTAGCTCAATGATAGAGCACGTGCCTAGCATGCCTAAGGCCCTGGGTTCGGACCCCAGCCCTGCAAAACCAATCCATCAATCAGTCAGTCAATCAGTTTCTTTAACCTGGAAGAAATTTGGCTGATAGATATGTGGTTTAATGTTTTCTTTAGGTAAAAGGCTACTCAGTTCTTCTCTAGCCATATGATGCAAAGTGTTACTCCGAAACAGCCTTAGACTTATGTGACAGATGAAATGCCATACGTAAGTTCACAAGCAAATGAACCAACTCAGTTCCTCAAGACGGGATGCTTCTTAGTTCATTGGTGTGTATTTCACAGTTACAGAGCACTCATCTAGGAGGGTGGTTTTCATTGTGGTCTCCATTCCCAGCTCCGGTGAACCAA